AAAAAAAAAATTTTTTTTTTGGGAGGGGGGGGGGGGGGTGAGAAAGATAGAAACCCAGAAACCTAAAGACAGGGGAGGCAGACAGGAAGAGCAGGGTTTGCAAAGACATTTACAGACACTGAAAGAATAAGAAACATATCTCTGTTCTGCCCCTTCTCAAAAAAGAAATTTTAAAAAATGGCACCTATCCCTGGCTGGTATGCTCAGTGGTTAGAGTGTCAGCCTGCGCACTGGACGATCCAGCATAGGTTCAGTCAAGGGCAAGGACCTGGGTTGCAGGTCTGATCCCAGACCCCGTTGGGGGTGCATGTGGGAGGTGGCCAATTGGTGTGTCAAATCAATGTTTCTCTCCTTTCTCCTCTCCTCCCCCCCCCCCTTGCTCTAAAAATCAATGGAAAAAATATCCTCACTACTCTGGTGAGGATAAAAAAAAAAAAAAAGTACCTACCACCAACTACCAGTGCCAAACACCTGTCATCCCCTTGACTCCCCTCTGAAACGCACATCCTAGTCCAACAGCAATCCTCTTTGATTCACCTAAATCTATAATCCATCCTCCTGGCTCTTACTCTGTTCCTCACCCTGGTTCTATCCAGCATCATCTCCCACCTGAACTGTCACTTCAGCCCCTTCCTAGTTTCCTGCCTCAGACCTCTGCCCTTAGTCTCTCCTTCTGCCCTCAGTCTCTCCCCACTGCCCCTACTAGACAACCTGAGTCAGATCACATAAAAGGCAAAGTTCTAAGTTTTTTTTTAATATATTTTATTGATTTTTTACAGAGAGGAAGGGAGAGGGACAGAGAGTCAGAAACATTAATGAGAGAGAAACATCGATCAGCTGCCTCCTGCACACCTCCCACTGGGGATGTGCCCGCAACCAAGGTACATGCCCTTGACTGGAATTGAACTTGGGACCCTTCGGTCGCAGGCCGACGCTCTATCCACTGAGCCAAACCGGTCAGGGCAAAGTTCAAAGTTCTTAACCAACTTCCATGGACTGATTCTATCTTTGGTCAGTCTTGCTACAGCCACACTGGCTTCTTAACTGCTCCACCAATAAGTAGCATATCTGAATGCTTCAGCCACAGGGCCTTTGGGCTGTCTGTGTCCTCCGCCTGGAATACTCCTCCAGGTATCCCTATGCTCACTCCCAACTTTCAGGTCTCTGCTCAAATGTCTCCTCAGTGAGAGGTCCCTGACTACTCTTACTGTAACCCACACCCCACCTCCCATTCCACCATCCTCCTTATCTTGCTCAACTTTTTCCGTGACATTTATCACCACCTAACATAAGAAATGTATTTAGTTCCTATGTTTATAGGAATCTGCCTTCCCCACTAGAATGTCAAGTCCTCAGGGACAGGGACTTTGCCTTGTTCCCTGCAGTATCACTCATGTCTAAACCCATAATAGGAGTTGGCCACATAGTGGATGTTCGGTATTTGTTGAAAAAGAAATCGGTTCAGAAATGGGGAGAGGAAAAGAGTTAAAACTTCAAGACACACAAGAAAAAAAAATGATGTTAACTAAACTTATAATAATCATTTCACATTTTACACATAATTATGTTGTAGACCTTGGACTAATACAGTACAATGTTATATGGTAATTATATCTAAGTGAAACTGGAAAAAAATCCAAGACAGAAACTCGGGGCAAGAGGCAGTTGCGCCATATACCAGTAGAGGACCCACAGCCTGATACTTACACAAGCCTTAACTGAGATCTGCAGATCCTATGAAATGTGCAGGCATCTAAAAGGCGATACCACCCTCTAGTGGCCAATAAAAACGGCACCTCCCCATGCTGCAGAACACTCCTTAACCGATGATCACCAGAATCCCTGGAGTCTTTCCAGCCCGAAAATCGAAATGTTCATTCCTCTAAGTGATACAGATTTATACAATGTTTAAGATTTATAAAAGCTGAGGAGGAAAAAAAAAAAATCAAAACTGCTCCAGGTGAGGATCGAACTCACAACCTCGGCATCGCTCCGCTTTGCACTGTCTTATAAGTACCGCGCGCTAACCGATTGCGCCACTGGAGCTCCGGCCGCACCCTTTCGCCGTGGGGTCCTTCAGTTATTCTCGGCCACATGACCTCCCTGGACAGTTATGTTTCGCAATGTATATGCAAATATAAATTTTTTGGTTGGTCAATAGGAGAAAGTGTGTGACCAGCTCCTGATTCTCACGCCTGGAAGGCCCTTGCTGAAAAAAGGAAAAGTCCGCGAGGCGTTTGGAATGTGGAAGGAGTGTAGCCTGCCTTGGACTCGCCTTCTTATGAATATTCAGAACCTAAAGAGAAGGTGTTTTAACCCCGGGCTGGCCGGCCGGAAGCCGGTCCCTTCCCCCCACCCCCCCACCCCCGCGGGCGGGAACAGGATGTGAGCCCAGGCGGCTAGGGGGAGGGGAAGCCCAAGGCGACCGTCCCCAGCCCCACAGCTGGGACGGGGTCTCCCACTGCAGAAGTGGCGCTGCCACCGCTTCTGCTTGAGACCCGTGCCGCCCATCCTGGACCTCTTAGGCTCCAGAGCCGCGAGCTCGGGCGACCCTAGTCACTGCACCGGGTCTAGAGAGACTCCGCAGCACAGGCTCCGCGTGCAGGTTAGAGGACTCCAGATACCCAGGTGCCCAGCGCCTCCTCCCTGAAGGAGCCGAGAGCCCGGGACATCAGCCCCCGCGACCCTGGAGGGCGAGCTCCCGGGGTTCCCAGAAACCTGAGCCCAAGACTCCCGGGGTTGGAAGAACTTGGGTTATGGACTGCTAGCGCCCCAACCACTTGTGCCCACTACTTCAAGGGCACCCAGGAGTTTGGGACTCGCTGCACTCCAGCCTGGAGGAGGTGTAATTCCTGCTACTAGAGTTAGGGGAACGCAGGAATCCGTGCCATCCACCGCCCTATCTAGAAGTCTCAGGAATTTGGGTCCCTAGCATCCCCATCTGAGACTCAAGATTCAGGCTCCCAGCATCCTCCATTTAGAGGACCAAGAAATTCGGACTCGGCAGCCCATTTTCCAAGAGACCTCGGATTCTGGCTCCCGGAGCCTGAGAGCCCGAAGTTTACACCCCTGACTTGCAGAGAGATCCAGGGACCCAGGAGTCGGCTCCGCGCCTCCCCAGGGACCATGCTAGGGATCAGATAGGAGCTGGGCTGCCTCGGTTCGGGGCCGGAGACTGCCCGGGAGGTGAGGGGGAAGGCAAGAGGCCCCGATGGGCTGGGGGAGGGGGCGGCGCCTCCGCAGCTAAACAATGAGGGGGCGTGCCGGCGGGGCGCGAGCAGAGGCGCCGGCGGGAGTTGGGGGCTGGTGGGGTGTGGGAAGGCGGAGGGTTCAGAGAGCAGATCGCGGAGTGACTGGCCGGAGGGGCGGGGGGCGGGGGGATCCAGGCCTCAGGGCCTGCGCCCCAGCTCGCCGCTCTCGGTGGGGGAGGGACCCGTCTGCTGGACCCTGGCATCCGGTCCCTCGGCCTTCTCCGCCCTCCCCTGGGATCCCGCGGCCTCCCGCCCACGGCTTTTCCCAGCCCTGCCCCTCGCCCTCGGCTGCAGCCAGAGCCCAGCCGTTCCCAGGATCCCTGAGCCTCCGGCCCCAGACAGACCAGACTCCTAGCTTCAGCGACTCTTTTGCTATCTTCACTCTTCTTTGTCTTTGCCTTCCCATCTTTTTCTCTATGTTATCTCTCCTTGTCCCCCTCTTTCTATCATTTTGCCTCTGTCTGCCCCATGAGTTACTACACCCAGGGGCCCCTCCTTGGATTTAGACCACACTCCTAATTCTCAGCCCCCAAACTGTGAGTGTGGGCAATTGGAGGCCTATGACATCTTGGTATCAAAGAAGGGGGTCTTTCTGCAGAAGCCGCTGAGCCACGCAGCCATGCCAGAGGGAGCCCGTGGACTGAGCCTGTCCAAACCCAGCCCTCGCCTTAGCCCCCGCCACAGAGGTGAAGTGTGTGACTGTGCAACTGTGTGTGAGACTCAGACAGGTGAGCATGCAAGGGAGGGGCAGAGCCTGCTGGGCATTCATTCCTTTATTCCAGACACGGTGCAGCCCTCTGGCTGGCCCAATGTTGGGCAATGCTGGCAACACAGGGTGACCAAAATAGCCCCAGTCCTGCCCGCACAGAGCTCCAAGTCTGGTGGGGAAGATGGACCTATCCCTAGACAGTGACAGTCCGGAGTGGGTATCTCAGGACAGAGTGATCACAGCCAGCATGGGGGGCCCAAAGGGCTGTGGGAACCTAGTCTGGGAAGTCAGAAGAGGCAACATCTAAACAGAATAGGAAGATTGGGAGGAACGAGCTGGGAAAGGCAAGGCAGAGTATTTATTCCATGCAGAGGGAGCACTGTGTACAAAGGCCCAGAGGTAAGGGGAAGCTGCGTGCGACGAATCTGGAGTGTGAGAAGTGGCGTGGCTGTGGCGAGAGAGCAGACTGGAATGGTCTCATGGCCACCTTGCATAGGGTCCTTTGGACCTGAGGAGTTTGGACTTTATCCTGAAGGCAGGACGGGGTTGTAGTCATGAGAGTGACTGGGTCAGACAGCAAATTGATAGACATCCCAGGCTGATTCATGGAGGTGGATTAGAGAAGTGGAGGCCAGAAGCCCAGAGAGGACCCTGATGCGAGAGGACAGGAATGGATGAAGGCAGCACAGCAGAAAGAGGAGAAGGGAGCCTTGGGAAAGACACTGACTAAATGTGTGTGAGTATGAGGGCTGAGAGCACTCACTCAGTTGGGGAGACACCCTAACCTCCTGTTCCACACCCCCAGCAGCCTCCGCAACCCCCGCCATGGCCTCCCTTCGAGGTTCTGGGAGCTCCACATCCTTGAGCACAGTGGGCTCTGAGGGGGACCTGGCCCCAGGGCCCACCCCTGCCTGCTTAGCCTCCAGACCGGAGCCCCTTCCAGGGCCCCCCATCCGCCTGCATCTGTCTCCTGTGGGGACCCCTGGTTTGGTGAAACCCTCAAGGCTGGAGCGTGTGGCCCGTGAGATCGTGGAGACGGAGCGGGCCTATGTCCGGGACCTCCGCAGCATCGTGGAGGTGAGGCAGGAGGGCGCCTGAGGCCAGGGGGTCCCAGCCCAGCCCTTTGCCCCAGTAACCCCAGTCCTCCCCACAGGACTACCTGGGCCCCCTGCTGGATGGCGGGGTCCTGGGCCTGAGCACGGAGCAGGTGGGCACGCTGTTTGCAAACATCGAGGACATCTACGAGTTCAGCAGGTCAGGGGCTGATGGGCCAGGAGAGTGGGGCTAGATGTCGAAACATTGGGCAGGGATCTTGATGGGGCGGGAGGACCCAGAGTGTGGAGGAGGGGATGGAGCCTGAGGATCCGGATGAGGTCCAAGTCCAAATAAGGGGACGGGTCCAGGCATCTGGATGGATTTTAGCAATGTGTCAGACTTGGGAGAACAATATATCTCAGGCCCAGATGGAGCCTGGAGATCATGACAGTGCGAGCATTTGTGTCCTGGGAACCCCTCCGTCCCGGACAAACCAGGATGGTTGGTCCCCAGTGAAGAGAGATCATGCAGTTACTATTTTTTAAATTGAGAGAGAGAGAGAGAGAGAAATACCTATTTGTTGTTCCACTTATTTATGCATTCATTGGTTGCTTCTTGTATGTGCCCCGACCGGGAATTAAACCAAATGCTCTAACCAACTGAAATATTCGGCCAGGGCTGAGATCATAACATTATTGCAGGGGGTCTGAGAGTCATGACAAGAGCTCAGAATCACAATGGAATCTTAAGATTATCACAGCTCTGAATGTTATGACACTGTTGTCCCTGGGTCATGACATGAGACACCCAGGCTCCAGCCAGCTGTGACAAGATTTCAGGCTGAGGAATGTGATTCAGTCCAAGGAAGTCTGAGCAGGTTGTGATGTTCCATGTAGGAATCAGAGGGCTCTTCCTCGACATGACAGCCCCTAGAGCAGTGGTTCTCAACCTTCTGGCCCTTTAAATACACTTCCTCATGTTGTGACCCAACCATAAAATTATTTTCGTTGCTACTTCATAACTGTAATGTTGCTACTGTTATGAATCGTAATGTAAATATCTGATATGCAGGATGGTCTTAGGTACCCCTGTGAAAGGGTCGTTCAACCGCCAAAGGGGTCGCAACCCACAGGTTGAGAACCACTGCCCTAGAGAGATCCTGGCAGCATCAAGCCCCCACCAAGCTTCTTGGAGTTCTCCCTTGGGAGGGTCTGGGGGCAGGGCGGTCTCTCACCCTTCCCTCTCCCCACAGCCAGCTCCTGGAGGACCTGGAGGGCAGCAGCAGTGCAGTGGGCATTGCAGAGTGCTTCGTGCAGAGGGTGAGTCGGGGTGCCAGGGCTCAATCTGGACTGGTGCCTGGGTAAGTGAGGAGCAAGCCTGTGATAGGGGGGTCATGGGCAGTCTGAGGTGCTAATTCCCCTGTCACCCGCAGAGTGAAGATTTTGACATCTACACATTGTACTGCATGAACTACCCAAGGTGAGGGGTCCCAGGTTGTGCCCAGGAGCTGTTGTGCCAGCCAACCTCCCTCCACTCAACCCATCTACCCCTGCCAGACTGTGACAGTAACTGCACTCTCCCTAGCCTGCCCTTGACCCCTGCCTGCCCCCAGCCCTCCCACCCCTGCCCACCAGAGATGCCCTCCCTTGACCTGTTCTGTGCCCCCAGCTCCCTAGCCCTGCTCCGGGAGCTGTCGCTGTCTCCACCAGCAGCCCTGTGGCTGCAGGAGCGCCAGGCCCAGCTCCACCACTCACTGCCCCTGCAGAGCTTCCTCCTGAAACCTGTTCAGCGCATCCTCAAGTACCACCTGTTGCTGCAGGTTTGCTCTGGCCCTTGAGGGTCTGCTTGGGGGGGGGGGGGGGGCGGGGGCGGGCCCGGGGCC